ACTCTTTCCAATATATTAAATATTACAAATCCTATGCAAGAAAAATGCCCATTATTTTAAAAATTGGGGACAGGTGAACCTTTTTTTTTGTAGATATTTATTTTCTTAGCCTCCTTAGATATAGTTAAAACAAATGTTGCTGAATTTTTTTTCTGGCGTAGTATTTTTGCCATATTTTCAGGTTCCGCATATATGTAACATAACTTTCCAATATATTAAATATTACAAATCCTATGCAAGAAAAATGCCCATTATTTTAAAAATTGGGGACAGGTGAACCTTTTTTTTTGTAGATATTTATTTTCTTAGCCTCCTTAGATATAGTTAAAACAAATGTTGCTGAATTTTTTTTCTGGCGTAGTATTTTTGCCATATTTTCAGGTTCCGCATATATGTAACATAAACAATAAACTCTGTATATACAGACAGACATTAATCAATCCCTTTGCACATCTACAAAATCTCTCCTCAAAGCACTTATCATAATTAATTAAACATCACAGCCATACTAATAAATAATATTTATTGTGACCTGACATACCAATATTATTAGGACCGGATGGAAATTAATATCGTCTTATATCCGTAACTATAATCTCGCTCCCCAAAAAAGCATACCAATTTTTCACAGTTCCTCTCCGGTCACTATAATAATATTTGGTAACCTGTCACACAGTATTCAAAGTGTTTTACATATGTGAATGAGCTAAGCCTCACAATGTTCCTGTGAGATGCTGAAATATCCCCATGTACAGATGGAGAAACTGTGGCAGGTCAATGAAGAGGCATAGCCAGAGTCCCACATATCAGTGACATGGTTGTGAATAAAACCCAGATGTCCTAGACTGCATAGTAACCTCAAATCAGTGTTAAAAACAATAAAATTAATGTTATTTGATCAAAATTTTGCCTGGAAGGAAGGGCTTTATTATCTTAGACTTTCATACTTAAAATTGTCTTTTTAATTACCTAAAAATGAGTACTGCCCCATGATGCCTACATAAAATACACGAGAACTGGATTTTGACCAACAATCTGTTACAGTATCCAAAAGGTGAAACTGTGTGCAAGGGGTTGTTAGACCAACACATTATTTCATTCTCTCTCTCAGGATTTCAGCTGGAGAATAAAACATATGACTGTTTAGCTCTCCCCATCAGTCCCTCTTGCTGTTACCCGCAGTTCAGAAAACCTTTGCACATGAAAGTAATTTTTTTTAGCAAGGTAGAGAACAAGCATGAAATATCAGGCTAAAATACTTACTCTGCAGACAGACTAGAATCATCCCAATGATCTGGTAGGACATTTTCTGGCTTTCTTCAGTCATGATGCTGTGAGAATGGTAGATGCTTGCTAGCTAATGGATCTCTTGATGAAAGACTTTATCACGTGGAGAGGAGGATGTCCTATTTCCTCTTAAAGTTCTGTGGGGGCAACATGCCTGACAAAAGAGAGGGCCAGGAGATATTAACAAACCCATTTGAAATCTGACTCTGACAACCAGCAAGGCAAACCAGGGGAAATCATATTCAGCTGCCTTTAAAATTCACTAAACTACAAATTCCAGGTCTGATTTCGCGACAACAGAGTGTATTTCAAATGGAATCTTTCATCTCATAATTGGACGGATGGAACAAGCCCCTCTTTGAACCGAAAGAGACGTAGATTATTTTCTGTGCTTCAGGGTTTCAGACTATCCTATGTATTTGTGGGGATGTTAGTCCCAATAAAGACTATAAGGTGTGTCACCACGGTCAGGAAGATTCCCCCTGCTATTTCAACAAAGGATAGAGGAAATCATCAAAGAGGTTTGTTGTAGTCTATGGAAGTGGAGGAAATGTAACAAGTACCTCACCTTGTTTAATTATTATAATAGACGATATAAATGTTTTGGGAAGAGGCCTTGGAAGAAAGGAGTGAAATGGTCTAGAAAATGGAAATATGGTAGGGTGACTCCAGTTAAGAAACAAAGTGATTGTGGGTCACGTAGGTTTGTGCCTAATGCGTGTTCCTGGCAGTAACATTCAAAATTATGTAGAGAGCAAAAGATCTGATGTTACAATTCCTTTGTTGTAAACCCTTTTCGGAAACCTGGCCATCTTCCTTATTTGAATATTTTAAAAATCATCTGGAAATCAGGACTCCTTGCTGTCAATCTCCATGGGAAGTTGAATGCAGTAGTACACAAACAGCCACACACACCTCACTAGCCATGTCCCTTTATGAGGCCAAGGCTATTTCAACACCCAGGAAACTCAGCAGATAGCTGCTACAGTTGCTTTTGTCGTGGGGCATAGAAAAGTAAAACATTATACAAAGTAGCTCTGGATGGTTAATTGGCGAGTTTAAATTTTAAAAACACCTGGGCTGTGTCTACACTGGCATTAATTTCCAGAAATGCTTAAAACAGAATAGTTTTCGTGATAAGTATTTCCGGAAAAAGAGCGTCTACACTGGCAGGCTGCTTTCCCGGAAAAGCCCTTTTTCCGGAAAAGCATCCGTGGCCAATGTAGACGCGCTTTTCCGGAAAAGCGCGTCTACATTGGCCACGGATGCTTTTCCGGAAAAAGGGCTTTTCCGGAAAAGCGCGTCTACATTGGCCACGGATGCTTTTCCGGAAAAAGGGCTTTTCCGGAAAAGCGCGTCTACATTGGCCACGGATGCTTTTCCGGAAAAAGGGCTTTTCCGGGAAAGCAGCCTGCCAGTGTAGACGCTCTTTTTCCGGAAATACTTATCACGAAAACTATTCTGTTTTAAGCATTTCTGGAAATTAATGCCAGTGTAGACACAGCCCTGGTGTGTTTTACATTTTAGGTGATCAATCAAATTGGGAACAGACCACTTGGCTTCAATATAATATTTTTATGCATCTATTTGATTGTTTCTGGATGGCCTAAAGCCATATGACATGCTGAGAATGTAACATATTTGCCAATCTCCTCAAAAATACAGCAATCTGAATATGTTGTAAAAATAACTTCAGAAGTTTTCTCACCTAGCTAACCACCTGTACATTGAATTGCATTGCAATGGGACCAGCAGAGACATTATGGCCTGAACACCAAATAGCAGGCAAGTTGGAGACCACTTTATCCTAATGATATGCATATTATTATTATTATTATTATTATTATTAATAATAATAATAACAACAACAACAACAACAACAACTTCTCTAGTATTTTAAATAAAATAAAGGACTATGTAGCAATTTAAAGATGGTTTATTAGGTGATGAGCTTTCATGGGCCAGACCCACTTCCTCAGTAGAATTTTAGATATTTATGGCACAGGTATGGTAATGATGCGATGCACATATGACATTCCAATGAATCAAGCTAATAATCCCTGCTATAACTGTAAAACAGAAGCAATTCAGACATCTTGGCCGGGCTGTATGGGGGAAGATTGTGCTCTATCTGCTCCTCATTCTCTTCTTTTACTCCACTAACTCTACCTATTTGTGTGTAAGATAAAAATCCTCAAATGTTTCAAAATCTTCAGTAAGACCATAGAATGCTCTATTTGTGCAACTAAAAGAAATGGAGAGTATTTTACTCAGTTGCATTTCTTTTGTATCAAATTGATCTTCGCTAATGAAAGTCCGCTGTATATTAAAAGTGAAGAGAAAGTTTAAAGCTACTATTGGCATTGGAATTTTTATTTCTGTGATAAATAGTCCCTAAACAGGGTCCAAGCTGTTCTGACCAGTTTTAGAAAGGCCAGCTGGAAAAGCTGAACTTTTAGTAGTACATTCTTTCATTTGATACACAGGAATCTGCTATGCAAAACGCCTTTGTTAGAAGACGATTCATAATATCTCAGCCACGCAGAAAGGATTGTTGTGTTTTTAATTAGCCAGTGTGTTTGCTGCAGCTAATAAACATGCTCTCCCACCCTAGAGGGACCTTTCAGGGAACAAAAGGGCTAATTCCACATCCCATTTCTTCTACACTTGCGACACACTTTGACGTGCCTGTCCGAATAGTGTAAAAATTAAAGGCAGGCCGCAGTCGAGAATTTAGAGTATTTTTAACATAGATCAGTCGTCTAGCTCCAGGTTTTATCATGCTCCCCACACCTGCTGTATCGGAGTACCTGATGTTTAGAAGTAAGGGTATGTCTACACTACAGAGTTAGTGCGAACTAACTTAGTTCGAATTAGTTAATTCGAACTAAGCTAATTCGAACTAACGCGTCTAGAACTAAAAACTAGTTCGAATTAGCGTTTTGCTAATTCGAACTAGCATGTCCACATTGAGTGGACCCTGAACAGGGCTTAAGGATGGCCGGAAGCAGTGCCGGCAGGGCATCAGAGGAGGACTTAGAGCGTGGAGATGCTGTCTCAGGCTAGCCGAGGCTGTGCTTAAAGGGTCCCGACCCCCACCCCGGACAGACAGTTCTCAGGGGTGCCCCGCTTGAAAACCAGTCCTGGCTTGGAGTGCCCGGAGTGCCCACACTGGGCACATTACACCACTCGGCCATCAGCCCGGCTGCACATGCCGCAGGCTGCCATCTGGGGAGAGGGGGCAATTGGGGGGCTGCAGGAGAGCTTCCATCCCCAGAAGCCCAC